AAATCCACAGAAGAAGCGCTCAAAGCCTGAAGATCTCTCAGCCTCTAATGTCCTGGGACAGATCAAGACAGAAAGAGAGGATGAGGAGGAGTATGATGAGGTTAACAGACAAGAATTGGAGAGGAGAGCCTTCGGTTTTGTGCCCTCAGAAGAGGAGGATGGAGATGATGAAGAGGAGGAAGAAGAAGAGGAGACCATGAAGAAGAAGGGTAGTCCAGACGAGAATGGGAAGCATGAACACAAGACCTCCACTGCATGGGAAGGTGACCAATCACAGGGTGGTTTTACCCAGGCAGGGCCCAGTATTAACTCGGGTGTTGATGCACAGTTGAGGAGCCAGCGAAAAACCAAACGTAAGCCTCGCCTGCCCAACAAAGAACTGAGCAAAGAACTAAGCAAACAACTCAATCAGGAGATCCAGAATACAGAGGATCGACTAGCACATCAAAATGGCAGAGCAGTGAAGACAGAACCAGATAGTGATGGAGAGGACCGAAAACCACTGAAGAATGGAAGCAGCCATCTGAGAGACTGGCTGGGGCCTAAGCGGGAACTAAACGGATCATTGCGAGAGCAGCTCCCGGTTAGTTGGATCAGGACTACACCTACCCCTGTCATTCGGCCAAAACCTTGCCGCTCTCCACCGAAATGTGTTCAGATGGAGCGTCATGTTATTCGCCCCCCTCCGATCAGCCCCCCTCCGGATGGGCTGCCCCTAGATGATGGGAAGAATCACGTAATGCGGAGAGAGGTGTGGATGGCAGTGTTCAGCCACTTCACACACCAAGACCTGTGTGTCTGCATGCGGGTGTGCAAGACCTGGAACAGATGGTACGTCTTCCAGAAACTAGGAAAGAAAGCATCATAATGTTGTGCTTTTTAAGTTGCACTTGCACTATAGAGAATTTACTTTACACTGCAGTACTACATGAGCACTCTTTTCCTCCATTGGTGCTTTCATTGGTTTACTCCCTAGCTCTCAGACTTAACCACACCTTTAACCCTTGTCCTAACTAATGAAAACACTGGATTGTATTTGGGTCACAAGAATGAAGTGAATCTTTTTTTACTTTCAGTTGTGACTTAGATCCGAGAGGGTTGGGTCCTCCATGTTATGTATATTCTAAACACGCAATCTCAACTTTGTAAGACGCAAGTCTTCTGTCCTCTGTTCTCAGGTGTTGTGATAAAAGACTTTGGACCAAGATCGATCTGAACCGGTGCAAGTCAATCACTCCACTCATGCTGAGCGGCATTATCCGAAGACAGCCGGTCTCCCTGGACCTGAGTTGGACTAACATCTCTAAGAAGCAGCTCAGCTGGCTAATCAACAGATTACCTGGTACAATCACACTTTTACTTACCAGCTAATTTGTTTAATGGTGGAAAGTTTTTTTTGGAGTTTTGTTTCAATGCATCTCAGGTTCACTGTATAGCTGGATTCCTTTCCAGCTGTTTTGGCCTGTGTGTATCCTAATGGTGTAGCCTTTATGTACTTGACACTCCAGTCTTGTTCCCGGAGATCTATATTCCTGCCAAGTTTAGCTATGACCCTGACCAAGTACACCTGAACCAGCTAATTAATATCTTTAGGAACTTTTGATTATTACAAACAGGTGTTTTGGAGCAGGGTTGAAACTGAACTCCAACAACAGGATTGGGCACCCCCGATGTATGCAAACTCCACTCTTGTGTCCAATACTTGCATGACACCTTTGTGTTGGTTTCCTGGCAGGTCTGAGGATTCTGTTGCTGGCAGGCTGTTCGTGGGCAGCTGTATCAGCTTTATGCACATCCAGTTGTCCTTTGCTAAGAACTTTAGATGTGCAGTGGGTAGAGGGACTTAAGGACAACCAGATAAGAGACCTACTCTCCCTGCCGACAGACAACAGACCAGGTACTGAATGATAGCATTAATTGCTGTTTATGTCCATTATGTACTCTTGACCCATTTAGAAGTTCTTTATCTTCTTATTTTGCCAATTCATAGTGCCCCCATGTGTACACAGGAAATAGTACAGGCACATTTCTGTTATATTGTTTAAAAATTGACTGTAAAAGATGCATATTGCTGTCTCTCAGGTCAGTTGGACAGTAGAAGTAAACTGAGGAATGTGGAGAATCTCTGTCTAGCTGGTCTGGACATCACAGATACATCCCTGAAGCTGATCATAAAACATATGCCTTCACTGTCCCAGTTGGATCTTAGTTACTGTAACCACATCACCGACCAGAGTGTCAACATCCTCACGGCAGCCGGCACCACGACCAGAGACTCTCTCACTCACATCAACCTTTCAGGTATGCAGGTAATGCTAAACCCCTCACATAACAGATTAGACATGCTAACGGACAGTGGAGTGGGCTGGAAAACAAGTATGCATACATTGTGTGTGTATAGGCTACACAAACTCATCTTCATCTGATAAGATTGCTATCTTGCTGTTTTATGCATTGCATCTTGGGAAAAGCATGATGCAAGGTCACTGCTCTTCACTCGCTACTAATGTAAATCTGAGCGGCTATGGCTCTAAATCCCCATTCCTTTCCTCAACAGTTTGTAACAGAGTTACAGACCTGTCGTTGACCTACTTCAAGCGCTGCGGAAACATTTGTCACATCGACCTGCGGTACTGCAAACAGGTGACCAAAGAGGGTTGTGAGCAGTTCATCGCAGAGATGTCCGTCAGCGTGCAGTTCAGACTGATCGAGGAAAAACTACTGAGCAAACTGAGCTAGTCAATAAAGACAGTGACAATAACTTGACCTAGAACCCAGGGAACTAACAATCTCGCCCTCCATTTTTTACACTTTTTCAACATAAGGATGGGTGGAGCGTAATGCACTCCACAGAAAACCAGCAAAGACAAAAATGACATTCCTAAACAACACACTCCAAGCAAAAGCCTGAATTCATCAACAGAGCTCACAAGTGAAGAAATGTGTTCTTCTCTGGTGGCCAATTCAGCCTTCCAATCTGTTTTTTGTTTTCAATTCGTTTAGTTGTGCTGCTAAGGCAAACGTTTATTGATTTTTACGTTTACAAGGCACAGCTAACGGAGCGTGCCAACGTTAAAATGCTGTTGAAAGGCATGTTTACTCATATTTTGCATAAATGTTATAAAAAAGGTTTTATAGTCACACAGTGCAGTGTTGCAGTGACTGTTATTTTCTTTCTCGGAAAAGAAAAATTCAAAATGCATGTGCTTTTTTCGTTACCATGCAAACGTTAAGCGTCATGCAGTATTCATTTTTGTATCAGAAGGGATTTCACACTTTATGTGCAGTATTAAATGCACTCATATATAGACTTTATTGACAGTATTCAGTCAGTACAAAGTTTATTTTTTTTCTACGCAGTAGGAAGTTAAGCAGATCCTATCTATACTAGCTATAGTAACTGTGCAGATGTTTTTGTAATGTTAATTTAAGATGTGATGTCTTCTAATGTTATAAGATGTTCTACAGGTACATTCTCTTTTCCATATGACTATATTACTTATCTGGGCTTCTTTAATATGTATATATCTGGGGGGAAACGTATTTGCACTGTTTGACCTTAATAAATACTGATATTTTTTCCAGTATCGATGTTTTGCTTCACGGAATTTTGACTGTGTGAACAACTTGGTGCACAAAACTATATAGAGCATCGGATTATTCAAGGTAAACAAGATTTATAAATTAGTCTTAAGATCCGCCCTGTTGAAAAAACCAGCATATGCTGGTTTGGTATGCTTTGACGCTGGTTTAAGCTGGTCCTTTGCTGGTTTTAACTGGTTTATGCTGGTCATGTGCTGGCAAAGGACCAGCATAAACTAGCAAAAGGACCAGCATAAACTAGCAAAAGGACCAGCTTAAACCAGCAAAAGGACCAGCTTAAACCAGCATCCCAGCGTCAAAACATACCTAACCAGCATATGCTGTTTTTTTTCAACAGGGCGGTTCAAGCAATTATGATTTCCCGCCTACCTTTTTGCCGCTCTTTTCCTCTCTCATGTTAAGACTTATAATTGAGTAAATATAGGACAGGTTATCACATACAGACAGGCTTACCTCAGCGAATTTGTTCTTCAGAATAATCAGCAAACTTCTTCTTCCAAAAGCACCTAGCAACAAATTTAGCTATTTTTTAAAATGTATTTGGCAGCTTTGAGCAACTATTGATAAGTGACTCAAACGATAAAAAGGCACAATTGACCATTTAAATTACACAAAAAGAGGAAACCAAAGATGCCTAGCAGTACACACGTTACAGGAATTAAGTTAGCTGCTATTTGCAACTGTTTAATAGTAATAATAATAATAATAATTGAATACTGTTATTTTTCATTTGAGACACTTTGTTAGCTTGTACCTGCGATTGTTGATGAGTTGCACTGTTTCTTACAGTAGGCTAAACTGTAAGAAAAATATGCAGAAAAATGGAAAAGGTGCTAGTAATTTTCCAGGACATTATCCGTTATCAGTTGTAACCCGAAAACACAAAATACAATGCGTAATTAAAAATGGAAAAATCAATCCAGAAAATTCCTTCTTATTAAAACAGTAGATTGTGCATTCTTTTTTTACTTTTCTTAGAGTGCAGCATACTAACTAACTACTAATAAACTGCTTTAAAGTATAAAACTTAAATTGTAATCGTTCAAAAATGTGTGCGGTTTCGATAATTTAATTACGTTTTTGATTTAAAAAGTTATTTATATTTTAATATTATATTACGCATTTATATTGCTACGAACAAATCTAAATTAACATATATAAAATATGTTTTTGCTGAGATTTGACACAATTTTGCATCGTGATTACGTAATGACGTCATCACGCAATGTCACCACATTCACAACATCATTTAGCAACAAATCAACCTTCCTTTAGCAACGTCCCCTGAAAATTAGTTGGCAACACTGCTGGAAGGCGCCGATTAGCATTTCATCGTTTGCAACGGAGGAAAAAATAATACTGAAATGAGAAAACTCTTCTTATTTTGTTACTTCAAGGTACCATATTTTATTAAATTTAATAAATCATCTTTGAATTACCAAAATAAAAAGTTCAACATTCCAAAATACAAAGACCAGACCCCAAAACGCCTTCCAGCGCTCAGTTTAAGTCGTTTAGACTGTAATCGTGTCCGTTGTCTGCTCAGCTAGAGTAGTTGCCTACTACCAAGTGACATCTTTTAGAGATAGCAGCATTAGAAACATACACATAAGCACAGTGTCAGTGTTGGGCAGACGGGTGTGGAGATGTTCTAGAAGCAAATGAAAAACAGTCTGATTATAGAAATACATGGTTGTGACACCAGAATGTAACCAAATCTACTGTAGTATTATTTGTGACCGATTAAAAAGATAAACAACTACATCAATGTTGTTTACATTCAAGGAAAAAACTGGAACGCTGAAGAAACATTTTAAAAGAAAATGCAAGAAAAACTGGACAACAGAGGAAAATATAGCCTATCCATATAGCCTACTTTGTGTATGTCTTTTTTCACATGTATATAAAATCATATACGTTTGATTAAATTTTCCTTTATATTTGTTTGTCTAGCCAATACCACAGACATCATAACTTGAATTTGACTAGAGAATTCACAGCAACAAAGGGCATCCAGAGGAATCAAATAACAATTTATTTTCCTCTTTATCTTATCGTTATCTAGAAAATGTAAATATGCACAAAAAGGGAAAGAAACGCAAGTAAAATCACGAATGCAATAGAGAACTGTGATACATAAATCCATGTAGCACCGCTTGTGAAATCAACACGACACACCCACAAAAAAAACAGACATCTTTCATGGTATTGCTGGAGATGAAGAACATTGAAATCAAAACTTTTGACCAACAATGAAAACGGAAAATATTTTGCTAACAAAACCAACCAAGGTTTAAAGGTGCACTAAGACATTTGACCAACTTCTATAGTGCTTTTGATCTACAAAGGTGAACATTCCTTAATGTTGAGATCACATGACATTTACCTGGGTAATCACCCTATTATCTGACACTTTTAATTAATCGAAAATGACTTGGCACACCTTTAATTATCTTGTATACACAGCACAATGGAGACAAACCAACCACACGCCTGACGTTCGGCAGATTCTGCAAAATTTGATAAAAAAAATAAAATAATTGAGGTTCCAGTAATAAGCTACATAGTGGCAGGTGCTGGATTCCAGTGACTCTGTGAAAAAATACAATACAGTTTCTATCAACTTGCTATAAATAACTCTTCTGCTAGTTGGTCATTTGATCCGGTGTCATGGATGCTGATTTGTGGTATGGCAATAGCCGATTTAATACATGAAAACAACACGCTTATTAATCATATAGCATGTAAAAACAATCCAGAAGCCGTTCTGCACATTTCTATTTTGGCACCTACAGTACCTTCCCCCTTCACGGCAATGGTTTTCACTGTTGCTACGACAACATGCTTCTTAATGGCAATCGGTTTCTCTACACGCACACTTAAAGATTTCTAATATTGCACATACAATAAGACATTTCCAAAAAGTTTACAGGAATGTACTGTAAACCACTTAAACTTTCATCTTTTTTATACGTTATTCCTCTAAAATCCCTTTCTTCCCTAACCGCAGAAACGATTTCAAGCGTGCCAATGAATGACCAAATAAAAATGGGCAGCAGGAAATGCTCGCTCTGTGAAGAAGGTGTGCGCAGTACTGGTTTCCACCACTTTGAATCTAAAGGGGCAGTTCATTGGTCCAGTCGTGGCCCCAGCCTGCTCGGTCAAGCAGGAAGCATCTGGTGTGTTGGTCTTCCAGTAGAGGTGATGCTCACCCGTTAAGACTTGAAGACGTGCACCGCCCGCACCACGTACTGCCTGCAGATGGGGCACTCGCTCATCCTCTTGCCACACTTGGTGCAGGTGACCATGTGACCGCACTCCAGCAGAACGCAGTCTATCACGGCATCCATGCAGATACGGCACAGGTTCTCATCAACGCCGCCCAGCTGAGCTACTTGCACACCATCTGGAAGTATACAATATATGGAAGGTTTAATAGTCTATGGATGCAACTAAAACGATTAAAATTATATTCAGTAATAACATACAAAAAATTTTTTAAAAAGTGTGCGAAAATTACAAATTTTGCCGCTACAGCTAACAGAAATAAAATAAGTTTACGTTGAAGTACTAAAATGACTAAGGCTAAAATAGAAAGATTTAAGCTAAATAAATGTATTTAAAACATTAATAAAAAAGAATACAAATTACAAAAAGCACATAAGAAAATTACTAAACTTAAACTAAGATTAAGCTGAAAACAAATTAAAATATAAAAAATACTACTATAATAGTATATAAATAACACTGTCAAGTACAATGTATCACAATATTGGTCTGCTTACCTGCAGCTAGGCTGTTGCTAACATTTTCCACTGCAAGGAAAAGAAAATGCAAAGAATCAATTTTATGGAGAGCAGAAGCCTATTTGAAAATCACATTAGCCACAGCTGATTTTGGCCTGATCCTTGACTGATTCAATTTCATGTTGTTATTTCTCACATGCAGTCTGTCAAAAAGATTCGGAGACTGTAATAAAATGGCTGCATTCTCTGTCATCCATCACTCTTATTATATGATGCCAGCTGTGCTCTTTTCAGTCTGAACCCGATCCAAAATTTTTTTTATGACGGACGAATATTTCCAAGGCAGTGTGTAAACGTGATTGACATAACAAGAGGTCGTATTTATTTTTTAACGTGCGAAAATTTCGGATGAAATTAGCAATGACCTTTAGTCTTAGTCCCGGGCTAAAATGTCCTTGTTAGTTTTTTATCATATTTAGTCAACCTTATCCTATTTAGTTTTAGTCAAGTTTTAGTCAACTAAAAGTCTCAACATTTTAGTCTAGTTTTAGTCAAAGAAAACTTGACATTTTAGCAATAAGATTATTATTAATTAACTGTACAGCAGTATTAATTTTGGCAGCCATTTTTAATTTAGTCTTAGTCTTACTCAAATGTACATTTTAGTTATCATATTTAGACAAAACTGTTTTATTTTTTTAGTCATGGGAAAAAAGCTCGTCAACGAAAATTTTTCATCATAGTCTTCGTTAACAAAATTAACACTATTTGTACAAAGGGTTGTTTATTATAAAGAGAGGTTCTTTAGATTACTAAAATGTTCCTCACACTAAGAAAAATGCTTCTTTTAAGAACTGTTCACTGGGAATCCAAAAACCCTCTTTTGGAAGCTTTAAAGGTCCTTGCAAACTGAGTCCGAAACTTTCGTATGCGTTTTTCCATTTTTTTTTTTCGTATTCGTCATCCTTTCCTATCAAAATGCTTTCTACTGATGCGAAAAAGCAGAAAATCGCACCTGGTCCGAATTTTTTTATGACGGACGAAAGTTTCGGAGGCAGTGTGTAAACGTGATTGACACAATGTGAGGTCGTATTTATTTTTCAACGTGCAAACATTTCGGACAAAAAATTCGGACTCGGTGTGCAGAGACCTTAACACTAACAATCCTTTTTTGCCTATGAATATTTTTGGGTGACTGTAACTAGAGTACAAGTAGACTACTTTGGGACAAGCTCTACACTTTCTGTGTCACATCAGGTCTTACTCGATCTTCTGTTGAGTTGGTTCTCTCTGTAGAGACGATGGACGCGCTCCACCAGCTCCCATTTCTCACAGCAGCCTGAATAGTTGACGAAGTTGCGAGCGAGAATCTCTTTCAGCTGCCGCACCGTCAGGCTCTCGATGTCATCCTCGTGGGACAGGTCCGAGAGGGAGGCACGTGCACGTCTCTGCGTCGCTGGGCTGGCCTGCTCGGGGACAGAGGTAGACACGTGGACGTATTGGTTATAGCATTTAACTGCAGTCCACATCGATATTACACAAGACTGCTCGTTTTTAACTCTGCAGATGTTTTCTGAAATATTTGTCAAACACTAAGCAGACTTATGGGATGATGCTGAATTATTAATGATAATGGATGCTCAGTGAGAATCGAGGGGTTTTAAAGTAACTCAGTCATCTTCACAGTAGCTGCCACAAACACTCATCGCATGCAGATTTTGTCAGAAGAAAAACACCTCCAGTATGTTGTCATGAGGCTCCAGGTTGAGGAGGGAAACTGATGCAGCATCTGCATGGTCCTGGAGATAAAACACAGAAATCAAGAACTTCTATCAGATTTATTGACTAAAACCTGGTTGAAGTCAGAGTGTGTGTTCAGACACACTGAGCCCGGCTGTGAGTTCAGATTCTACCAGCTCTCCTCTTTAGTGTTTGTATTTATGGAGAAAAAAAACATTTCTATGGATAAAAGCCTGTAAATCCAATAAATGTAAATAAAAGTTTACTTACTTGATTTAATATATGAAATATTTTTATGAAAATTTCAGAATACAAGCCATATTAAACAACACATTTTACTTTGAAAAACATGAAATATTATAAATATATATACTGTAATACATAATATATGTAAAATCGTTCAAAAGTATGGGGTCAGTAAGATCTTTTATTATTTTTGAAAGAAAAATACAGCAAAAAACAGTAATACTGTAAAATGTTTATAATAAAAAACGTATTTTAATAGATTTCAAAATGTAATTTATTCCTGTGATGCGAAGCTGACTTTTCAGCATCATTACTTCAGTCTTCAGTGTCACATGATATTTCAGAAATCATCCCAATATGCTGATTTGATGCTCAAGAATATAATATTATACATATAATAAAATACTAAATAAAAATAGTTCTAAGAAACATTACAAAATATTGTAAATATTGTAAATAATAAATACATTTAAATATCTAAATATTTTTAGATTTATATTATACTAAAATTGTCTAATTATGTAATACATTTCATTTATATCATATATTTTATTATAAATTCTGAATCGCACATCTTAAAGTAAATCATAAAAATATTATCCATTCTGCTGGAATTTGATAAGATAAGAAAAATACATATTTTCTGAAATTCTTAAAGAGAGCACTTACATTTTTTTTACTTTAAATCTCTTTTACAACTTTGAGTAACCTCTGTCTGTGTCAGTGCAGTATAAATAAAGCATCTACTCATCACTTCCTCACAATTAGCTTCCCTTGGTTCTGTAAGCTGCACATCAAATAACACCACATTACAGAGTTAATCATTCATTCCCACTGATTGCAATAATTCCTTTCCTGTGTCACTCACACAAGGACCGTGTGGTCCTGGAGCAGCCAGCTTTTGTATGCTTTTTTTGGTCTCTCTCTTTCTCTATTTGCCTCATTCAGAACAATTAGCTAATGGGCCTGCGTTCTTCCTGTCTGCTGTCTGGCTGAAGAATGACTGTCTTTATGAGAAGACTCAGCACATGGACTGAGATCTCACACATGGTCCACACACAGACGGCGTGCAGCTTTGCTGGCTGGCTGCGTATTAATAATGCATGGGTCAGTCTGCCAACTCACACTGGACCATCACAGTCTCTTTTCGAACACACGCAGATGCTCTTTAAAACTTCTGGCCAATTTTACATATCGAACTTAGCCATTTGCCTCTTAAACTCATTTGCACTTAAGCGTAAGTGTTTTAAGTCGCGCCATGCAGGAATGATCTGACAACCTGTACCAACATTATGTAACCTGCTCAGTATGTCTGATCTAAAAAAAAAAAGCAAGGCTTAAACGTCATGGCTAGTCTCGTGGGGTACAGCTGTTCACGCACGTATGGATGAATCTTTAGTTAACTGAGGGTTGTAAGCAGCTTACTAAATGTACAGACAACAGGAGTCAATAGATTATAGTGTAGAAATGTAAAAAATTTAGAAGAAATCCTCACTTGATGTATTCAGAAACATGCTACTTTAAAAAAAAGTGAAAACAACGAAGTGCGACTCATGAATCGAGAAAAAAAACAGTCCAATCTCCCAATACGGAAGTAGCTTAAACAATAACAGCAATCAAACAATATGGTCAGATATATTTATCGATATTTACAGGAATTGAATTAGTTTGTTTGATTTGATTTGGCACATTTAACATGCAAAAATGTTCAAAGTAAGCACGTTAAATTATGTGACACAATGCAACAAACATTTACAGTAATGTTATGCAGTACAGTAATACATTAGAAATCAAGATTACTTGATTTGGGAAAAAATGTTTCAATGTCAAAATGCTTTTTTGTAGCGTAATGTCATTTTACATTAGGCATTTGTAAGCTGAATTCCCAAAAATGTGTTTTAAAAATATTATATTATAAAATACAGAAATTATAAAATTATTAAAAAGAAATAAATAAATCACGTAAAAAAAGATAACTTCTAACCCAAGATTAGAAGAAAAAAAATTTATGTAAAATAAAAAATTAACTGTAAAATAAAATAAAAGTAAATAAATGTAAAATAAAAATGATATGTAAAATATATGTATATATAGCAATATTGTGCTATATATACATATATAAATATTGTAAATAAATATATTTACAAAAAAAATTATTAAAATTGCCTCATTATAATAGGTAATACGTTTAATTAATAATAATAATACATTTAATAATTAATAAAACATTGATTATAAATGTTGAATCACACATAGTAAATGAAAAAAAATATTATCCATTATACTGGACTTATATTAAAATTTTAATTTTCCTTTTAAAAATTCTGAAAATTCTTACCATAATAAAAATGAGTAAAACAAAAATAAATCTTTCATGAAATTCTTTAGAACTAGCATCATGCACTTTTAAGTGTCCAAATCCTCAAATCTTTTGAATCCAAAAACAAAACGCTTGGCACTGTGTACTGCAAATATTCTTGGCTCTTGTGACAAATTGCTTGTGATGTTGTGATTATTTTTATGTTGCTAAATGAATATAAATGCAAATTTATCAATTTAAAAGTAAATGAAAAAATAAAATAAAACAAATATTTCTTTCTCTTCCTTATTTTGAAGTCACTTCGAATAAAAAGTGTCCGCTAAATGAATACATTTAAAAGTAAATAAAAAATAAACAAAGTAAAACGAACACCGAAATGCATGGGAACACATTGCCGACATGACGTTTTCTTCCAGATAGCACCTCACCTGATTGGTTGTCCCTGAGCTATCACTGTGACTGAGAGCCTCTCCCTGAGACGCGGCTACAGACAGCGCCGACTGCTGGGAGGAGGATCGTGCCGTGGAGGCGGGCGGCGTGGAGAGAGAGTGCGGAAGTGAGGGCAGACTGTCCGTGTCCGCTTCCGCCTCCTCTTCTTCCTCCTCCTCATCATCCTCCCCCATCTCCAGCTCGGCGCCCAGATGGCAGAGCACCAGGTCCACCAGGTCCTCTTTCTCCCTGCAGGTGTCCGTGTTGATGTTTCGCAGCGTGAGGTACTGCCGCAGGTCTTTAACACGGAGCCGCATTAACCTGGGCCGCTGGAAGGCCGTGCCCCACAGCAGGTGGCAGGTGGCGCAGCGCCGCAGGTTCTCCTGCAGCACAGAACACAGCGAGCAGAAGCTCTTCTTGCAGTCTGAGCAAACATGCTGCGAAGAGAGAAAGATGAGGAATCATTAAACAGTCAACTAATATGTGTGCATTAGACCGGTGATTTAATCACATCATGCTTTAGTTGTTTTGATTGACACAGATGCTTCCATCTCTAAATCTCTGCGGCATGAACTTCCTTTTTCAAGACACTTTCTAACTCTCTGAAGCAGTTGTGGAGTCTCTGTTGGATAGCTTAGCGGTGGTTATCAAATGCCACCATGCTGATGAATGAGCCATTCAATCAAACCATTGCACTCTAGCTTAATGTCAGTTCTATCCATCACGTCTCTGCATATGTGTGCTGGTGTGAGCGGCTGCAGATGCATCACACTGTCTTGGCATTGGAGCGCCTGCAGACGGGTGTGAACGTGCTGATATGATTTCAAAGCACTCTTGCTTTGTGGTAAAGTTAATGCTCTGATCTTTCATCACTTCTGTCTTTTGCCAGGAAATGAGGAATGCCAGACTGTAGTGGCAAATCAGTGTTTCCTCCTCCAGTCACGAGCAATACTGTGCTATATATACACACACATATATATATATATATATATA